TGTCCTGTAGGTCCTGCTGTCAGGCCGCAGTACAACAGCAACGCTTGTTTTAATCCCCACAGAAGCAGAAACTTGTGTTTTGCTGTGTTCTGGATATATTTCAAGCCCGTTCTCACTCCCAGGGCCTCGATTGGCTTTGTCACGTCCTTTGGCGTGCTGGTACCAAAGCACATGGCACCCTTAGGCGTCATTGTTCAATGCTAAAAGTAGGCCTAGTAAAAATAACCTATTGATCTAATGTACCCTCCGGACTCTGTCTGGTGGAACCGCTGTGCTCGCTCACGCAGATGTTTCAGGACCAATGAAACACAAACAAATAGATTTAGATCAAAAAGTTTTATCCAAAGGCCATAACAGCACAAAACACCACTTTAAGAACTGAACCGTGACGTCTGGCGAGTTTCTACTTTCCTTTTAGGATCTTCTTTCTCTTTATTTATATATTTTAAATCTGCTTCTATATTTGCTGTCACCCAGGGGACCGTTGTTTATTTCCTGCGTGAGTTGTGTTACCTAGCCGTGATATTTTCCTAAACCTGACCAAGTGGTTGAGACTCTTCTGATCAGGCTCAGCTGTGTTTTAAGCTGAATGCTAATGTTAGCATGTTAGCATGCGTTTTAAGGCCTCGACTATTGCAATGTCCTTCTAGCAGGTCTCCCAGCTTGTGCGGTGAAACCCCTACAGATGGTTCAGATCTCAGCAGCCCGTCTGGTTTCTGATCAGCCCAAAAGGACTCATGTCACTCCGTTACTCAGTGACCTCCACTGGCTCCCCGGGGCCTCCAGGATCAGATTCAAGTCACTGATTCTGCATCCAGAGCTCCTGCTGGATCTGCACCATCTACCTAAACTCCATAATCCAAGCCAACGTTCCTTCTGGGCCGCTACGCTCCTCCAACGAACGCCGCCTGGCTCTGCCATCCCTTCACACAAAGCAATCCCTGTTCTCACCTGTGACACCACGATGGTGGAACGAGCTGCCGCACGCCATCAGAGCAGCGGCGTCCCTCTCTGACTTCAAGAAGCTCCTGGAAAGTCTGCAGAGATCACTTCCTCTGAGAACACTTCCTTTGAGATCACTTCCTCTGAGAACACTTCCTCTGAGATCACTTCCTCTGAGATCACTTCCTCTGAGATCACTTCCTCTGAGAACACTTCCTCTGAGATCACTTCCTCTGAGATCACTTCCTCTGAGAACACCTCCTCTGAGAACACCTCCTCTGAGAACACTTCCTCTGAGATCACTTCCTCTGAGAACACTTCTTCTGAGATCACTTCCTCTGAGAACACCTCTTCTGAGAACACCTCTTCTGAGATCACTTACTCTGAGAACACTTCCTCTGAGAACACTTCCTCTGAGAACACTTCTTCTGAGATCACTTCCTCTGAGAACACCTCTTCTGAGATCACTTCCTCTGAGAACACCTCCTCTGAGAACACTTCCTCTGAGAACACTTCCTCTGAGAACACCTCTTCTGAGATCACTTCCTCTGAGATCACTTCCTCTGAGATCACTTCCTCTGAGAACACCTCTTCTGAGATCACTTCCTCTGAGAACACCTCTTCTGAGAACACTTCCTCTGAGAACACTTCTTCTGAGATCACTTCCTCTGAGAACACCTCTTCTGAGATCACTTCCTCTGAGAACACCTCTTCTGAGAACACTTCCTCTGAGAACACTTCTTCTGAGATCACTTCCTCTGAGAACACTTCTTCTGAGATCACTTCCTCTGAGAACACCTCTTCTGAGAACACCTCTTCTGAGATCACTTCCTCTGAGAACGCTTCCTCTGAGAACACTTCCTCTGAGAACACCTCTTCTGAGATCACTTCCTCTGAGATCACTTCCTCTGAGATCACTTCCTCTGAGAACACTTCCTCTGAGAACACTTCCTCTGAGAACACTTCTTCTGAGATCACTTCCTCTGAGAACACCTCTTCTGAGATCACTTCCTCTGAGATCACTTCCTCTGAGATCACTTCCTCTGAGAACACCTCTTCTGAGATCACTTCCTCTGAGATCACTTCCTCTGAGATCACTTCCTCTGAGAACACTTCTTCTGAGATCACTTCCTCTGAGAACACCTCTTCTGAGATCACTTCCTCTGAGATCACTTCCTCTGAGATCACTTCCTCTGAGAACACCTCTTCTGAGATCACTTCCTCTGAGATCACTTCCTCTGAGATCACTTCCTCTGAGATCACTTCCTCTGAGATCACTTCCTCTTAGAACACCTCCTCTGAGATCACTTCCTCTGAGATCACTTCCTCTGAGAACACTTCCTCTGAGAACACCTCCTCTGAGATCACTTCCTCTGAGATCACTTCCTCTGAGAACACTTCCTCTGAGAACACCTCCTCTGAGATCACTTCCTCTGAGAACACTTCCTCTGAGATCACTTCCTCTGAGAACACTTCCTCTGAGATCACTTCCTCTGAGAACACTTCCTCTGAGAACACCTCCTCTGAGATCACTTCCTCTGAGATCACTTCCTCTGAGATCACTTCCTCTGAGATCACTTCTTCCTCTGAGAACACTTCCTCTGAGATCACTTCCTCTGAGATCACTTCCTCTGAGATCACTTCTTCCTCTGAGATCACTTCCTCTGAGATCACTTCCTCTGAGAACACTTCCTCTGAGAACACTTCCTCTGAGAACACCTCCTCTGAGAACACTTCCTCTGAGATCACTTCCTCTGAGATCACTTCCTCTGAGATCACTTCTTCCTCTGAGATCACTTCCTCTGAGATCACTTCCTCTGAGATCACTTCCTCTGAGAACACTTCCTCTGAGAACACTTCCTCTGAGAACACCTCCTCTGAGAACACTTCCTCTGAGATCACTTCCTCTGAGAACACTTCCTCTGAGATCACTTCCTCTGAGATCACTTCCTCTGAGATCACTTCTTCCTCTGAGATCACTTCCTCTGAGATCACTTCCTCTTAGAACACCTCCTCTGAGAACACTTCCTCTGAGATCACTTACTCTGAGATCACTTCCTCTGAGATCACTTCTTCCTCTGAGATCACTTCCTCTGAGAACACTTCCTCTGAGAACACTTCCTCTGAGAACACCTCCTCTGAGAACACTTCCTCTGAGATCACTTCCTCTGAGAACACTTCCTCTGAGATCACTTCCTCTGAGATCACTTCCTCTGAGATCACTTCTTCCTCTGAGATCACTTCCTCTGAGATCACTTCCTCTTAGAACACCTCCTCTGAGAACACTTCCTCTGAGATCACTTCCTCTGAGATCACTTCCTCTGAGATCACTTCCTCTGAGAACACTTCCTCTGAGATCACTTCCTCTGAGATCACTTCCTCTGAGAACACTTCCTCTGAGAACACTTCCTCTGAGATCACTTCCTCTGAGAACACCTCCTCTGAGAACACTTCCTCTGAGATCACTTCCTCTGAGATCACTTCCTCTGAGATCACTTCTTCCTCTGAGATCACTTCCTCTGAGATCACTTCCTCTGAGATCACTTCCTCTGAGATCACTTCTTCCTCTGAGATCACTTCCTCTGAGATCACTTCCTCTGAGAACACCTCTTCTGTCCCCTCACAGTTCTTTTTACCCCACTAAACGCTGTATGAGCTCTTTCTAGCAGGTGTTGTCAGTTGTAGATCTCCTGTTGATGCTTGTATGTTTTTCATCACATGTAAGTTGCTTTGGACAAAAGCATCTGACAAATGAGTAAATGTTTAAGAACTAGCCTTTTATTTGCCAGGTGACATGCAGCATTTAGCAACAGCATGCTAAAACTTGGTACCCAAAAGTCCAGAAAACCTCGACCAAATCCAGTCAGCCCCGTCAGATCTGCTCCGCCCAATCGGTGCCTCTCTGAACTAATGAACGTACAGATTAGTTTAGTTTTTATTGTCTAACTATTGTCTCCACACACCTGGACACTCCTGTAAGGACCCAGAGCGCCGTGCACCTTTCTAATTATTCACCAGGAACGGCTGAGGCCTGTTTCCTGCGGTCGGTCAGCATCACGTTGAGATAAAAACAACATTTATTTTGTCCATGGACTCAGAAGACGTTCAGGCCTTGGCGGGACGTGGACTGACTTGTTCTTGCAGTGTGCAGGAACACGCTCTCTCTCTCTCTCTGTGTCTGAGGACGAGTGAAACAAAAGCACTTTCTCTGCTCCATCTGGGCCCCGATGTGCTTCAGCTGCTTTATGAAAGGATCACAGTTCCAGAGATTAGGAGCAGATAATAAAGCTTACACAGCGGCAGGGCTCCAGCTAAACACACATATCTACTGTTCCTCACCACGGGGAGTCTGATACCTCTGTGTTATTCTGAATCATGTTTCTCTTGAACTTTTGTCCTCAGCTTCCTCACTGCACGCCCTCAGCTCAGACACGTCCCTGTGCTGGACTGACAGGCCGGACATGTGATCCCTGCAGCTGATAATGACCCGACACGCAGCTGGTTAACACGCACACACCTGATACTGCGGAGGTCAGCTCAGGACACCTGACTCTGCACTGCTGCATCATGGGGGATCTTAAGTGCTGCTGCTTCCTGTACAGTAACCCTTCAGGGTCAGAGGGTCACGTGACCGACGGAGGCAGCCAAAGTCATTGTGAGGCTCCACATCTCGTTATTCATGTAAGTGAGCAGCAGCAGGGGCGGAAGAAGTATTCAGATCCTTTACTTAAGTAAAAGTACTAATACCAAACAGTCAGCAAGCTATAAGAAGAAAGTGTGTCATGTAAGGTCTTTGGAGGAAGCTAGCTCGGTATTATCGTGACCAAAGAAGATGAGGAGGAAGTGAGGACGGAAAAAGAGCGAGCGCTGAACAAGAGGCCGAGCAAGGGTAAATATGGGATGGCTGCTGGAGGTCACTGAGGGAGGAAGCCAAGAAGAGAAAAGAGAGCGAGCGAGAGGCTGCAGGAGAGACGGCGAGCTGGACTTCTCGCTTGGTATTTGGCTGAAAGTCATCAGTAATGTAATCATAACAAATGCGCATGTGCAGCTGTGAAACGTTGCTTTAATCCTTTAATGGTCCTTTAAAGATGTCTGCAGAGCACGATGTGACAACACAGAGGCAAGAGTGCGACACATTAACTGTTATGAAAACCAAGCAGAGAATAAAGTGCAGCTGGAGGCCTGAATCTGGTTCGTGTCTGAAACACAGACTGGAGGGTTTGATTTCAGCAAAGTAAATTAAACAAAAGATCTGATCAAACTGACAAACACTGAATCACAGCTCACGGCTTTTAAACACAACGTTTAGCCCTTTCACCAGCAGCGGAGTGTTTTTATCCTGATATCCTCTTCCTCGCTGTGATAACACACACAGATCCTCAGAGGAAGTTTCTTCAAGAGGAGAGATACCATGACTGAAGTGTGTTTCTACAACACGATCAGCAGGTGGCAGCGTTGACCACACACACACTGTACCTCTGGCCTTGTCTCTCCTGTTGCGGGTGAACAGCTTGATGCTGATGGGGGAGGACGAGGGTTGCTGGTTTGTATCCCTGGAGGCCGACCTGAAGATCCCACTGAAACTCAGCCTGACACACGCACACAAACACAGAGTCATGATCTTCTTCTTCTACCGATTCTGCTGCAGCCTGTGCAGGTGTCAGGTGTGCCTACCTGCGTGGAGACCTGGGCGGTGAGTCCTGCTGGGGGGTCACAGTCTGGTGGGGGAAGATGGGACTCATCTTGGAGCTGGAGGTCCGGGCCGGAGCTGAGCGTGGGCTGGAAGGCCGACTGAACGGAGTCCAGTGGAAGAAGCTCCTGGTGGGACTCGCAGAGCGACACTGGGCCTCCCCTGCAGGACAGAAGGACACAGCTGCTGGTTAACAGATGATCAAAACACCTTCAACATGTGAAAGTGTGGCAACTCTTTTCTGGGCCCAGTTCTTCAAAAGGTTTTATCTGGATCAGGATGATCAAGAATTGGAAATCCCATGTTTTGCTGTCCTGGATCACGTAACTTACTTTTGTGCCGGTTTTTCTAAGCAACATTGGATTGGATCACCCTGATCCAGATCCAAGCGTTTCAGGATTACCAAATCTGGATTTCCCTGCTCTAAACGAGACTACGTATCACGACGCTGCTGATTATTTAAAGACCAGCAGGTAGAACAGCCAGCGTGCTGAAATAAAACATTTGCTTCCATTTCAGTTTCTTTAAACAATCAGACCCCCGTCTGACCCACAACAAAAAATAAACATTATTCCCAGATACACTGTGGATATTTTGAGCATGTGTTGTCCAATATTTAAATAAAGATCATTCAGGTGATCTTGTGACCTGTTCCCACCAGGGTCCACATGGAAAACTTGCGCTTTGTGTTGGTCCTGATCATGATTGGACTTTTTATAAAGTTTGCAGGTTGATGAAGTTTCATTTCTACAAATTCTTCCTCCAGTCTGATCTTCTTCGTTCTTCTCTGAACTCCAAATGTTATCAATTTTGATCTAATGCAGCTCAGAAAATTGTTGAAGCTCTGCTGGTTTGTTTGAGAACAGAAATTATGTGGATCCAAATCCCTTCTTCACTTGAAAAAAATCTTTTTAATCACATTTTCCTTACTGAAATCTGGATTTGAAGCCAGAGCGCCTGAAACCAAGGAGTCCTGACCACTGGAGAGAGATCTTGATTTACTTGTAAATTGTAAGAGAATCAGGTCAAGACAGCGACCGAAAGATTATCAACTCAAAAGCCAGGAAGTCCATCCGTCCAGAGTTTCCTCTCCAGACTGAGGGAGGTGGATCTTCTGCAGGGTCCTCCCTCAGTCTGATCTTCTTCCTCTCTCTGGTTGTTTATCGGTACTGAAGATGGTCCAGCGGGGAAGGACGCCGACCGGCGACGCCGAGACGTGGGTTCAAACCTCGGCTGAGGTATGTGACCAGCTTGTGTGTTTTGTGTGTCTATGTTCAAATAAACTTCAAACCAACTACAACCGCTCAAAATCGCGTTCGTATCCGTCGTTCATTTCTCGTCACGAATTTCCACCGTTGCCCGACCGCATTTCAACTGAACTTCAACGGCACAAAGAACAGGTAAGTCCAAGTGGGTCCAGCTAGCTGGCTTGATAAAAGCCAGCTAGCTGGATGTGTTTTTGTGTCTGCATTATCAACGGTGAATAGAGCTGAAATGGTCCGGTAGCCAGGACTCATGCATTTCACCTTGGTGCTGCGGGTTCAAGTCCAGATTTGGGGGAAAGAAAGTGCTTTTCATTGTCATTTTTCTTTTTCCAAGTGAGGGAAGGATTTGAATCCACGACTTCCCTGTTACCAAACCTACTACTGAAAAAGCAGAGCCTCTAGAACTTTCTGAGCGGCATCAGATCAGAAGATAAGGCAGCGATGTGAAAGCCAATGTAGGACTTTGCAGATGGACTTTCTGGCTGTTGAGTCGTATCAATACAAGATTCACAATACTGTGTACCCCCCCCCCCCCCCGCTCTTTTTCAAATCCAGGTTTGAGACAAGGCAGTGCTCCTTTAATCTTTATTCCAAAGTATGAGGAAAGGATTTGAATACACAACTTCTGTCACCAAACATTGCGTTGCTGTGCCGTGTGGCCCAGCGGACAGGGTCTTTGCTTTAGACCTGGGAGCTCTGGGTTCAAGTCCAGTGTGGGAACTCTTTTTTTGAAAGAAGATTGTGGATTTTTGCCTCAGGGGTTTATGTTTGTTTTTGAACTGTTCCAAATTTCGTATTAAGTCAGAAGTGAAACACATGCTAACCATGTGACTTCTGTGGAGTAGTGGTCAGGTTTACAGGTTTACACCTGAAGGGTGCAGGTTCAACTCTTGCTGTGGAAAAAGTTATATCCAGGTGAGAAAAGGAATTCCAGGGAGGAATTAAGGATATGAGTGCACAACTTTTGTTTCCAAACATTGTGTTGCTGTGCCGTGTGGCCGGCGGACAGGGTCTTTGGTTTATACCTGGGAGCTCTGGGTTCAAGTCCCAGTGTAGGAATACTTTGTTTGAAAGAAGATTGTGGTAGTAGTCTTTACATACAATAAAGTCATTTTGGAAGCTTATTAAGTTTACGAGGGATTTGTTGAGCCCTAAGTCAAGCAGCTCGGATGGTCCTGTCCTGTTAGCAGAAATGGTCCAGTGATCAGGATTCATGGTTTTCACCAGCTGCTCTGGGATTAAATGCAGATTTGGGAGACATACTTCTAACATTTTCCTTTTAATCTACAATTTTGTTACTGAACACGGAACTGGTGTCTCAGATGGTCTGGTGGTCGGAGTTCCTTCTCTTTAGTCAGGGACTCTTGGTTCAAACCTGCTTTGGGAATAATTTATTCATAAAAACAATGTGTTTTTTGCCCCGGGGTTTTTGAGAAGCTTCAGTGTGTGTCTATGTTCAAACAAACCTCAAACTTAACTCTCAAACAAACTGAAGTAGAAATTCCACTGCTGTCCAACTGCAGCACAACTGACCTTCAATGGAAGAAAGAAAAGGTGCCTTAATATAAGCCAGGTAGCCAGACAGGTTTTTTGTGGAATACTTATTATTATTCCAAACACCTCAGTGCTTTATCTTCCTCATTATCTCTGATAAAGTCACTGTTTGAACAGCTCACTCTGTTTGTAGCTGCGTGGTGACGGAAGCTTGCGGCTGATTGGCGACTCAGCAGCCTGTGAGTGATGTCATCAGGTCACCAGCTGCTGATGTCATCACCTAGCCACAATTAAAATGACTTTAAAAAGACGTCTTTGGTTTACCTTCCTGCTGCCGTCTTTCTCTGCTCGACCTGGATCACCCTCCAGGAAGGGCATCCCAAAACACTCAGGTCCTGCAGAGACGCAGAGAGACTTTATAAACACACAGCGGTTGTTACCCTGAATATTTTACAAAGGTAAATGGCCATTAAACACCCAAACACTACACTTAAACATGAAAGCCTACAGACTAATGTACAAGCTTATCAGGCCATAACCAAACATAAAAAAGAAAAAAATTATAAAACAATTATAAAATTAAAAGTTAAAATTTAAATGCTGAAATGTAAAATACAGAAGCGTCAATGTGTCCACTTTATTAGGTACACCTATACAGTCTAATCTGTTCTGCCATAAAGTCAACCGTGATTATTAA